AGATTTCTTTTAGATTCTTCGAACATATTAAATTCTACAGACACGTACTTCACGGTAATACTTTAAAAGTAAGACCATGAAGTATTTGTCTGAACAGTTCAATAGACCGAACAATCCAATTGTGTAGCCTCTGAGAACAATATATAAAGTACTTGATCACTTAACTCACTTTCGATGTGGGATTCTTTCAACATATTTTGTACTCGGGTTTGAGTCAGTGCTGGGTCTGGGGTTTCACTGGTCGCATTCAGACCTTAGAGATCCAAAACTGAAGCAACTATATTAGAAGCTAAGATACGATCAACTCTAAAAGGAAACTGCACCATGAAATCTGCGATTGCAGCTCTCAATGCAATGTTTGAAATCCGTAAAAAAAGAGAGAAGACGGACGGTGAATTTGCTGTTTTCATTTTCTGGGACTAACAACCGTTTTAGAGGTAGTTATCAAAATATTTCTAGGACTTCCATTGCAATTCTCCGTCTAGATTCTTCCAAAATTGCACACACTACCTCTAATTTCTAAAAGGCAAAAGAATTGAAGGAAACTTTGGCGGGTTCTTGGAAAATTTTGATTTCTTTTCTTGTAATGAGGCCAACCAACTTTCTGTTGCAAGATAATGATCAGCTCCCTTTGGACCATTAGTAGAATTATTCCATAGGAAAGCATAGCAAAGTCTTTCAATTTCCTTGATCACTTTTTTAGGCAGAATAAAAGTTGAGCACTAGAAGGTTGTGACTCCTTGAATAACAGAGGAAATTAATTGCAATTGCCCAGCAAAAGAGAGGTGTTTCGATGTCCAAGAATTCATTATGCCCATGATCTTAGATACCAATGGCTTTAGGTTTTTTCCTATTAGTCTTCCTGTGATTAAAGGTACTCCTAAGTACTTGACAGGTAGTGTGCCAATATTGAATCCATAAATTGAGGTAAAGTGTTGTACTTCACTAGCAAGAATCCCACGGCAAAAAAGTTCCGACTTTGCATAATTTACCTTCAAACCAGAAATAGAATAGAAGCTCTTCAAAGTGTCATCAATTGCAGTTCAAGAGGATGCCTTTCCATCTATAAAAATGATAAGGTCATCTACAAAGCAAAGGTGGGTGAGTTTAACCTTTGCACATTTAGGGTGATAAGCAAACTGTCCTGCTGCAACTTTATTAAGCATTCCAAAGAGAACTTCCATGCATATAACAAAGATATATGGTGACAAAGGGTCACCTTGCTTGATACCTTTCTTCCCAAGAAAATATCCTACAAGATTCCCGTTGAAAACCACGAAGAACTTCTAAGTAGTAATACAAGCAACCGGCCAATTTATGAAAAGAGGGTGGAATCCAAGAGCATCCAAAATTTGGAAAACAATATCCCAATGGACAGAGTCAAAAGCTTTCATCAAATCAATCTTAAGAGCACAACATGAACTAAGATGTTGCTGGTGGTAATGCTTTACCATTCCCTGTGCTAGTAAAAGATTCACTACCATTAGTTTTCCTTCCACCAAAGCACATTGATTGTGACTAATGAATAGGAGCAAACATTTCTTGAGTCTTTCAGCCAAAATCTTTGTGATGAATTCATAAAGTAAATTGTAGCAAGAGATTTGCTTGA